AATCATGTGAAACTACTATTTTTGTAATTCAAAATGATTGGACATTGGTACCAATTTTTTAGGTCAAAAAATGTTAGACGCTGGAAATTTCATATTATTATCTGGCTATTTTCCCATATGTTTCTCATGACTTTAGGAATACTGTATATGAGAATTAAAAAATCATTTATGTGTACTTAAGGTCAAGTAAAAATACTGAACAGTTCTAAGTTTTCAGTTTGAATTAAAATTTTGCACAAGAACTTTTGCCCTTTCTTTTTATAAGTTTCATAAACTACATTATTTTATAAGTGGCATCATATGAAAACAAATTCTTGGAGAATTAAAACCAATCTGGTCTTGTATAAAAATGCAAATAACAGAATATACAGTGGAAAGAACCCAAATTTCTCTGCTTTTATTCTCCTCTTAGCATTTAATCCACATCCCTTCTTCCTTCTACATCCTTGAATCTGAGTGGCCTGTTTGGATAATTCAGAAGGAAAAAGGGGCGCATTGGATTTGACATTGGACTTCCTCAAAATTTCCAAACATTTGAAATAGGCTTGAAGAGTAATTTTCAGCTCATCTAATGTCCAGAGTTCTTGTATCTTGATAAAGGATCTCATATGGTTACATTACCATATAGAAATAATACTCAAGCTATCAGTCTGACTTCACTTCTCCCCTCTTAGCAGCATAGAATGTATATGAAAGAACTTTTCTGTATGTACAAAGAAGAAAGCCTTCCTTCTATAGTCTCCAACATTCCATTTCTTTCTTGATTTGTGTCTGATCAGCAAAGCTGTAGAAATATTAAGCTTTGTAAGAGCTTGTACACACAAAACCCATGCCAATCTGTTAAATCATATCCAACTGGAGAATAATGGTATAAATTTTCCTCCTTTGAAAGGACTTTCATAACAGATTAAAGTGAATGTCATGTGTTTACAAATGACACTTCAACTACCTCACTACCTCATATCAATATAGTTTGGGAAGAAGGGATATTATTTCATGTACAATAAGAGGTATAGACCAAATAAGCTCTTTTCCAAATTATAGTAACTAAAAAATGTCAATGAGGATTTATAATACTGCAGACCTTTTAGGATTTTAGCTCTAAATAAACTGATCTGACTCATCTGGATAGAGGTTTTAGCAGAAGTGGGATTGTCTAATATACATGACACTGATTAAAAACATTCTAAATCATGATGTATCTGTGCTTACATCATTGCCAAAATGATTCATCCGTGTAGGATATATTCTTCTTGCCAGAGATGTCACGTATCATGTTGGCTAAAAACACACAATCACATCCCATTATGGTGAGCTCTCAGAGTTTATCCACATTCATTCCTCTTCTGGAATTCTGTCAGGTTAGCACTGCTTGAAACACATGGTCTTAAAATTTTTCCATTCTAAATCTATTGCCATTTTGGCATTTGACTGAATTTGGCCTTATGTGACCAGCATTGCACTGAGAATGCTTAGTTTGTTGAATTTTAAATCTATAATATTTATCACATTACAGACCTATTGACAGCTAAGGAAATGTCTATATTTGAGACTTTTTCCCAGGTACTTTTTCTTCCAAATGAGGCTATATGTATTTGCATTTATTTGATATTATATTTATATGACATACTAACTTAAGAAGTTTTGCTTAGATGTGCTTAGATTAAGCACAGTGACTTTGTTTAGGGCAGTGTTATGGCTTGTGTCTGGGTGTTCCCCCAAAGCCTCATGCGGTCATGGGGCAGGCTTTTAGAGTTTGATTGATTATGGGTGTGAGAGCTACACCCGCCCTGGGGTGGATAGTTTGCATACGTAAGGGAAAGGAAGAGGCTGCTCGCTGCCATTCCTCCCTTGTGTGCTTGTTGCTTTTGCTGTGTTCTGCCGCCATGAGCTGTAGCCCTCTGCCATGTGCCTCTCTGCCTTATAACCTGCCAAGTATGGACTGAAAGCTCCACAAACTGTAAGTGAAATAAACCTTTCCTTCCTTAATTTTGGGCGAAAAGTATTTTGTCCCAGCAACGAGAGAAAAGTAACCAAGACAGGCAGGCAAATTTAAGCATTAGAAAATTAACTGACTTATAGTATAAAACCCTTAGCACTGCATTTCTTGTTGATTATTGAAATACTTATTGGCATCTTAAATCAGTCAACAAAAGCAGAGTTAAACATTGGCCTTGAATACAATATTTACCAACCTGCTCTTCCTTATATTCTGTTTTACAAGCATACTCTAATAATGAAGAATTTACCTAAGGAATCCATAAGGGCAACCATCCTAAATCCTGACACTGGTAGCTTTGTGAGCATATTTAAGCACCCATTACATCATGCAAAGTACTTATTGCAAATGAGTATTAGCTGCTAAAATATGTAGCTTCTTTCATGTTGTGACTAAGTAATCTGAGAACTCTTTGGGCTGAAAATGTACAGAAAGGTTGCACACTGATTGCCAGCAGGGAAATCTGTTATCAAATCAATGCATGGAACTTTCCTCTCAAATTGCAAAAAAGGGAGTACTGGGCACCTGTGGTGCTTGTTCTCTTTCACTGCAAAGGCTTGATTTTTCTGAGTTGAAATACGATGTAAAGTTCAGCGATACTCTGTCTTGGTGGAGTTGTGGAATTACTATTTCTCAACTTGATTTTTAAAGACACTGTGCTGCTAACAATGTATTTCCATCCTACCATCTCTTAGTTCCCTCCCTGCACTAATACTACCAGATAGAGCAACTGATGTTAAGGCTGCTGTGGTTTTGTTTTGACTAGTGTTCTGTCCGGGAATTCCTGCAGACTCCAAGAGTTAATACACAAGAAACACATCATCACTGACATTTTTAAATATTCTTCTGAGTTCACAGTAAAAACAGGAAAAAATACCTTCCTACTGATGTTTCACATGCAACATATTCTTTTTTTGCACTGACTTTTACTTACAATATTTAAAACTCTTTTTAAAAAGTATAAATATAAGTTCTTTGTAATTTATTCTATAACATAAGTTTTAAGTTTTGAGTATTTAATTTCATTTCACTTAGTGAACTTAAAGAAGGTTTGAACATTGCCATTTTAGTTTACTTAAAATTAATTTGAAGAAGTTCTCAAAATTGCAATTTTATAGTACTTGCTACAATTAATTTTTAAGAAGCCTTAAACATAATGACATGCTTTGAGCTCACTGATCGTAACAACCATGGAATGTAATAAGGTTAGCACCAATAGTCCTTTTTCCAGCTCTGACATTTTTGTTCTCTCCCCTTAAAACCTTACTATCTCCCTTCAGTTCCACACCCTTTTCTTATTCCTGTTTATCGTCTTCCTGCAAGAACAACAAAGGACACTATTTTTAAAGTGAAAAGCTAAAAAAAAAACACTTTCCAAGCACTCAAGCATGTGACTAATCATGAGCAAAACATCCTACTAATTTAAAGCTTGACTCAAGTTCCCATAGAAGCTACTAATGGTCCTACACATTCTTTAAGGAACAGTGCTGTATTCCACAATTGACCCATACGGCCTTGGGGCTATTTTAAAGAAGCAAGTTATGCTATCTGGTTAACTGGCTGAACTGAGGAGGATGGACAGCAGGCTCCTTCTCTGTTGCTTTTAGAACATCAAGTGAACAGATCCAGCAGTCTCCCCACAGTGCCCCAATGCTCACAAAAGCTACTAGTGTGTTTTTATGACTAGGTCTCAATTCTTACAGGCTGCAGAGCATCGAACCAGAATGTAACTGTGTGGCCTTGAAACCTCACCAGCCCTGCTTATTTAACTATAATGCAGCTGGAATTTCTGGAGGAAATTCTTTTCTTTCCCACAGGGCATCAGGCATACTAATGAACTCAACCATGGTTCTTTCCTAGTCAACAAAAAATGCCACTTCATGTATAATCTTAATATCTCATTCCAAATGACATTTTCATCTTGCTAAAAGAATCGATGAAGAGTTGCCCCATTGAAGGGGTAAATTAACTGCTTGAATCCTTGGCCTGCAAGAACTCTGCCATCAGGCTTGCTGGGAATGTCATCTTCAATACCAGATGGACATAGCAACCAGCATTAAGACCACTGTGGCTTTCTTTTGACCATTATCTCTGTCAGGGAATTTGAGTACTTCCAAGAGCCAATATGCTGGATGCACAGCATCACCATCAGTTTAAAACATTCTCCTGAGTCCTAAGCAAGAACAGGGAAAAAAACTTCTTACTGATGTGCCACACGTTGCTTTCAGAGTTCTTATACGTTTATTGTGAATTTTTGTGTGATATTCACGTTCATCCTATCTATACAGTGGGGACACTGAGGGTAGCAGATACCATCAGTGCCTAACTCATATGACCACCCACATACCATTCTCTAGCTCACTCGATGCTCCTTACCACAGAGGCAGCTGGGGGTTTTGGCTGGCTGCGGGGGTGGGCTCAGTCCTCCTTGGTAGTAGATAGGACTTAACTACCCTGGGGAGCAGCCTTCAAAAAATCACATCCAGGGTATCTGGGTAAATAGCCCAGCTTCATCACTCCTCATGGAGAACTCCCCTGAGGTGTGTTCTCCCAAATGTCTCCACTGGGACTGTGCCATAGGTAACCAGAAGTTAGTTGATCATTAATATACTCAGCACTGTCTGCCTTCCCTTCTCACTTCCTTATCCTACACTGGTGCTTCGTGGGTTCACTTGCCAAATAAACTACTTGAACATGAATCCTTGTCTCAGCATCTACTAAGACACTGGGATTAACTAAGAGATTAACACGTGCTAAATACACATAGCTACTTCATGGAGAACTAGGGCTAGAATGCAAATCTTTGGATTTCTGGCATATTTACCAGATTAGGTTGCTTCTTTTCAATGACCAGCCCTTTGTAGAACTGGTCTGAGGACCTTTGGGCAAAATGAAGACACTATAAATGAAACAAAGTTGTTAGATTTATATTCCTGGCCTTTTAGGAACCCAGTTGCCACCACTATTAGAAAAAAAGAGACAAATGAAAGGCAGTAATTACCTAGCATGACGAAAGGGACTCCTAGGAAGGTGGAATTGTACTTTCCACCGGTAAGATTGATGATTCCGGCCGCGGTGAGAGTGGCTAGGCTTATGGTTACCAACCCAAGAAGGCCTAGCCAAGGTTTGCTGCGGACGCAGTCCTGCATAGAGCAGCAGAGGATGGCCATGGTGACCACCAGGATCAGGCTGGTGACCAGGTAACGTTCTGACACACGGCTGGTCTTCTGGAAATCTTCCCTCAGTGATGAGGATGTGTAAGGGTACATTTTGACTTTGCTGTTGGATTTCTGGAATAGTCTGACAGTGTCGCAGAAGCTGGACTCCCACCTCTCAGCCACCATGTCATTGAGACTGTTGATTGACTGTAGGTAGTAGGTGAGCTGAATGGCCTCTGCAGATTTCACCCGATCCTTGCTGTGCACAGTAACGCCTCCAAGCTGGTGCCCATTGTACACGGCCCTCCCGTCCTTTAAGTGAGTGATCGGGTATGTGATAGCAAAATTGGTCCGATTGGTGGCCCGAGCATTCTTGAGCTCTTCCAGGACGTGTATTATGTCATCCACAATGCAAGTCTTATCGTTATTCAGGATACATATGTGGGCAAACGTGTAATTAAAACCAGGCCTTGGAACCTGGATCTTGGTGACAGCAGCATGCAACTATGGAGAAAAAGTGACAGTAAGTGTTTGTTACCAAAAATTAGACATTAATAAGTGGCATGAGCTCTATAGGTCTCTCCCGCCCCCCTTCATTCCCTCACTCAGCCAAAGAGTTCAAATTAAATGCTATAATCTTAGATCAGAAACAGGCAGTAAGGATGCAAAATAAACATTTGATGAGTCGTTTTCATATTGTGGCCCTGAACCAGCAGCATCAGTACAACCCAAGTGCTTGTCAGAAATGAAAATTCCCAGATCCTACCCCAGACCTGGGAAAGCAGAACCTCAGAGGTAAAGCCTAGCGATCAGGCTTTTCACAAGCCCACCAGGGGATTTTGATGCAGTTAAGGTTTGAGATGTACTGCATTAAAGCATCAGAATTATTTTTACATGTTCTTTATTTGTGACCCAATTGTTCTGTACTGTTTGAAAATCTTATCTAGGTCCCTTGCTCTATCTTGCTCTTGAAGATGTGATGTAAAACGTGAACTGAGGTGCAATTTTGAATGAGGAGATTCTCTCAGGCCAGTTCCTTGCTGCCAGTTAGCAAGGAAGCTAGACAATCTCCTCATGCCATCACCCTCTACCTTAAAGACAAATGTTCACCATGACAGTCTTTGTATTATCTAGCATTCCTTGCCTGCATAGGTGGGAAGGGATCTGTATCTGTAAGAGCCTGGCTGGGCTACATGGGCACCATGCTAAAGGAGCACAATGAGATTTACTCTACACATCCTATCCCATGTCACATTTGCTATTGGCCAGATACTGTGCACCTGCCACCGAAGTGCAAATGACAATAATAACACTGACTAACAGTCCCTACTACATGCCAGGTACAGTTCTGTGTCCTTTATACAGATTAGCTCATTCAATCCTTAGAACAAAGTAGGTATGAGTACTAGTCTCATCTTACAGATGAGGAAACTGAGATACCAAGAAGCCAAGTCACTTGCCCAAGGTCACACATAGTAAGAGGCAGAGTGGGGCTATGCTAGACAGCCTGGCATCAGAACTGTGCCCTTAGCCCTTCACCATACACCTTGAGGTTGGCAATGCCAGCATCTAAATGAGAGTTAGTTTTTGTTGTGGTTCCAGGAATGGAACTCAGGACCTTGCGCTTGCCAGGCAGGCGGTGCACTACCGAACTAAATCCCCAGCCCAGAATGAGAGTTTTTGCCAGCAACTAATTCCAAAATTTGTGCTTTTACTGCTCTGGCCCTGCAAGTTAAGTAGAAATATGTATAATCTTCTAAGACGAGAAAATAAGGTAGTGGTGGGAGGAGTAAAGGGCTTCAGTGAACTACTACCACGTGTCAGGGTTTTACACCCTCAATCTTTTCAACAACTCATTTTACAGATGAGAAAACAGGTTTGTGGAGGGCATGCAGATGGGAGGCAGTGGCGCTAAGGCAGCAGGGCTAACGGTAGTCTTAAAATGGCATTATGTGACTGCTTGAGGTGCACTGGTCCCTAGTTCATCTATTTCAACTTGTCAGCCCGTTATCACCATGTCTTTGCCTTCTCTGTGAAAAATGTAGTGCATCTGCAAAATGAGGCCAGTGGCAGACCTGTAGTAAAGTGATAAATCAAGAAGTACATCTAGGACTGTGCCTAGCACTGAGTGGACTCTCTCATTAGTGTTTCTGAGAGAAAATATTTTCTCTCAAATTTGTTCTAGGCTGTGCATATGCCTGGGTGAGAGAATATCACACTTTTAAAAAAATGTCTGAAGGCTACCAGCTGTCAAAGTCCGTTAGTTAGCATGGAGAATATTAATTCTCAGTCTTCCCTTCCCCCATGTCTGTTCAGGCCAACTCTCAGGTCCAAAAAACACTTTATTGCATTATGTTTGGCTAAAACATTTTTATTTCACACACACATACACAAAAACACACACGGTGTCCTAGAGATACCTAGGAGACTCTTTTCACAACGCTAACCATATGCTAAATTTGTTTAGGGCGTAATGGTCAGCAAAACGTCTTTCAACGGCTTTTAGCTGCGGAAGTATGTTTTCATGCATTTTTCTTTAAGCATGGCCCAGTCTGTTGATTAAAAGAATTCTTAACTACAAAAATTTTCAAAATGTAAACAGTTATTTTGGAGGAGGGATGAATGAAGAGGGATTTAAAGACAAGAGGGTTTTGATAAGAGTTAAAAGAAAGAGTTTGGGAAAAGGTTCAGAATAGACTAGAAAAGGAGTGGTATTGAAAGCACGCATATGTGTAATATTTAGTGCATTGTTTGTTCCCATGAGCAGTGCAATAAATCTCCCTTAGAGTGATTACTAAATATGTCAAGAGAAAAAGATTGCCAAATAAGATGGTGTTAAGCCACAGGGCTGAACCTAATTATAGCAAGGGGATATTTTCCATCCATTCTTTAAGGTGACCATGCCCTGCTGGGTGGGGATTTGTAAACTAATGGGGATCTGCTGACACTGCAAATCTACTCCTATGATCCCTGGGACCATACACTGAAGAAAGCAGACACCATGTTAATCTCTGTACTATCAGACAATAGAAGGGAATCCTAGAAATTAGGACTTTACTGAATTTTGAAAGGGCGGGTTTCTTAACTCTTAGCACCAGAGCTGCTGTGAGATGCAGCTGCTTTGAATTTCTGATGGAGTGGTGGGTGGAACACGTGTCACTCTTACTTCTGAGTGGCAGCGTGATGTGGAATGATAAAGCAGTGAGAGAGGGGGTGCTGGCTCAGGCCACCCACCAGGCAGGGGGAGTCTGTGGGATTCAACCATAGGGTAAAAGATGAGAGGATAGTGCAGCATGGGAAGTGAGAGTTGAGATTCCTTTCTGTGACTTCTGAAATATCTCAGTTCTGGTCTTTGGTTCTCATGATTACCTGTCAATCACACACACACACACACACACACACACACACACACACACACACACCCTCTTTTGTACATCCACTTAGCCATGGAGAAGTATATTGCACATGCTTCCTGGGCATCTATCTGCACATAGTTTTAGAAAGCCCTGATTTACCTTCCCAAAGAAGCCCCAATCAGAACAGGGGAAATGTTCAATAGTATATATGCGAAAATATGGTATCAGATATATATATATATATATATTCATCGGAGGAAAAGGAAGCCAGAGATTGAAGCCATGCTTCAGCTAATCTATGAAATATACAAACACAATCCATATAAGGTAAGAGACTCTGAGAAAAGGGAAATTACACAGAGTAATAGTCCTGAGCCTTACCATAGTTTGATTCTGTCATGTGTATCAGTACGTAATGCATAATTGGGTAACTATGTGTACATTCTTGATTATTCACTCAACACACATTCAACAATAATTCATGAAATCTAGTGTTAGTAAGATAATTTCCCTGAGTTTGTATGCAAACACTCCCACATAGAAAATCATATGAGATAGTGTCCAAAATAATGGAAGATGCTTAACACTTTGTACCAGTAAAGCCTGATCCAATGTCAATTATGATCATTATATTTTTATTATTACAGTATTTTCTGCCAAGGAGGCTAGACCTAAATAGTAAATTGAGATTTATTATGAGGCTATGAATAGATAGTTGAAATTATTAGCCTTTTTATTACTCTTCAAGTTAAGAATAACAGTAATAGCTACTAGTCTGTTAAGCACATCCTATACCATTTAAAAAACTTATTCAGTGTAAAGATCCTATGGAAGTGGTTAAATTATTATCCCCATTTTACAGTGGAAGTGACTAAGGCTTAAAAAATGTCAATAACTCACCTAAAATGACCCAGTAAGTAAAGGACAAGTGCATAACTCTAAACCAGGCCTTATTCCACAGCAGAACACTAAGCCCTAGACCAACACAAATTCAGCAGTGAGGACGAAGACAGAATGGGGTAGAATGAAGTATTGTCAGCCCACCTGGTTCAAATGGCCGAGAGTGAAAGTGACTGAGCTGCAGGATTGCCATACTTAGAGGTCTGGGGTTTGTTAAGAAAGACCAAAAATAATCCCAAGAATCAAATCTCATCTTCAGACATCAACAGTACAAGGCAATATTAATGGGGAATAAAGTGGATGGGTTTTGAGTTTTCTGAGTTTTCTCATTCTCTTGCCAGTCTTTTATGTTGTCAAAGAGAACTTTCAAAGACAGGCTTCTTAAGAAAAAAAGTCATGGAACACAACATAATCCAGCAATAGGAAGTTCAGGCTTCCTTTATGACTTCTGCTGCTTACTTTTGGTGTGTGGGAGACCCTAGGAATATTACTTTACTTCTTCCAATGAGACTTCAGGTCTCAGATTTATCAGTTAAGAAAAGGGGAAGGGGTCGATGTAGCTAATCTAGCTGAACAGATTCTTCTAGTTTGAACACTACTTAATTCTAAGATAAGTAACATGTACCGAGTGTACAGTCTCAGGTGAGAGCAAGTTAAATTCATAAATATCAACTTGAGGCTTATTACAGGTGTTTGTGGTTTGCTTTCCTGACACATTTAGGTTCATTTTAGGACAATGACAGATCTGATAGTAGATGATACCCAGAAAGAAAACAGGGTAAAGGAAATAGGTTTACTTTTAAAAAAAGAAAGATCTCCTTCTCAGAGTGATTTCCCATTCTGGGGAGGCACTGACTCTTCTAATCCCCTTCTGCCAGAGCCTGGGACAAAGCCAATATGGGCTGCTGGTCACGACAGGCCAGAGTCTCATTTCCTCTCTCCCTCTCCTTGGCATACACGCATCTTCCTCAGAAGACAGCAGGGGCACCTTGCAGAGGAGAGTACCGAAGGGATCTGGGCGGAAGGAAGTGTCCTCTTCTGAGTAGTCATTAACATAGGAAAAATACCTGTAGGGTTAGAGGATCTTATGGAATACATTTTGGCTCTCTTTTATTTTTTTTTATTAAAAAGGGAAGCTGGAAAAAAAGAAGGCACTCTCCCATGCAAGGCAATTAATATGTTCTAGAAGCAGCCTCAGGCAGTCCCCCAGCAATCTTCACTGTAAGCAAAGATTTGGAGGAGGTGCGG